CTTCTTTTTGTTTGTTGCTTTTTATTACCCTCTTGGGGTTTGTTGACCTTCTAAAATCCTGTGGCTTTATAGTTTCAATCAAATTTAGAAAAAATCTCCACCATTGTTTATTTTAAAGTTTGTTCATCTCTTCTGGGTTGATTTCCATTGATTAATTTTTACACTCACAGTAATTTTTTATTGGATGGCAGGCATTATGAATTTACTTTGCTGAGTGTTATATGCATATTTTAGTATTTGTATCAATATTATTTGAGCATTGTTCTGGAATACAAGTTACTTGGAAACAGTTTTATCACTTTGGGTCTTTAAGATTTGTTAGGCTTCTAAGATTATTCTGGGCTAATTATTACCAACAACTGAGGCAAGACCTTTCTGTATGTTCTATGGGAGGGGGTCAGTAAACTCATTGACCAAATCTGGCCCTCAGGTTGTTTTGCACTGCAGAGTTGAGTAGCTGAAGCAGAGATCATATGGCCTGAAAAACCTGAAAGATTTACTATCTGGCCCTTTACAGAAAAAGTTTGCTGACTTGTGCTCTACCCAGTGACTCATGAATCATGCATGAGGTTTTACAGTCTGGCTGTTGGGAGTAGGTAGTACTCCTGGCCCTGTGTGGGCACTGGGTACTATTATCTCTAATATTGTTTTCCAGAGACTGAATATGTCTGGAATTCTCTTTCTGTGCAGGCTTCTCTTCAGTACTCAGTCCTGTGAATTCCGGTAATGTTGATTTGCTTGGACTGTTGACTTCATTTCCACCACAACTCAGGGAGTCTGCCAGGCTCTGTCTGGATTATTCTTCCTCGCAGTGTGACCTAGAAACTTTCACAGGGCAGTGAGTTGGGACAGTGATTGTACTCTTGCTTTGTTGCCCTTCTCTCAGAGATCGTTGTCTTTTGTTGCCTGAAGCCAATTGTCTTGTAAAACATTGTGTCATGTGTTTTACCCATCTTTTAGTTGTTTAATGTAGGAGAATAAATCCAATTCTTTTTACTCCATCTTATCCAGAAGTTTGAGAAGTTGATTTGGGGCATGTTGAATGTAAGGTTGTATACAGGGGTGAAGTAGAAGCTAAAGATGTGAATGGGGATTTTTATTATATAAATAATATTTAAAACCATAAGACTGAATGAGATCATTAAGGGACTGAATATAGATTGATAAGAGGTTCAAGGACTGACACCTCGTACATTCCCAATATTAAGAGATGGGTGAGATTAGGAACCAGTAACAGAGACTAAGAAGAAACCACTAATGTGCTAGGAGGAAAAGCAGAGTACAGTATGGTTTCCACATTTCATGGGAAATTATTTACACATTACTTAAATATCTTGAATCACAAGATCCACCGCCTCATCATTTTAATAGTATAAGTCATCATAAGTAAGAACCCAGTACCTTGTATTTTAAAATTGTGATTTATATATTTTCCCAAAGAAGTTTTATATTCCTGCATAATGGCCCACAAAATGATTGGGTTAATCATATTGGAAACCAGGTTAAAGAAAACTCCAACACATGTCATAGCGTCTAAAACTATAATTAATCTGTACTTCCAGCGCTATATGTACCACTGTTTGGTGGGCTGTCCAGATAATGGCTGCTGAAATGATCAAGGGGAAGTTAAACGTAAGCAAAAATTAAGCACTTTCATTAAGAGAAGTTAAGATTTTTCCTTATTTATGTGGTTGATATCCATAACAAAACATGAACATGTTAATATTTTTCAAATTTCAAAAATAGAGGACATTTCTCAAAGCTTAAAAGAACTAAATTTTTAAAATTAATGGAAATGAGCATTTTTGGATGAAAGAATGAAGTGATAGAGAAGTTTAAATCAGTTGTTTGAAAACTGTGTTTTTAAAGAACAGGGTCTTCTACAAGTTGGAAAGATAGTCATCTCCTAAAATAAAATGATACATTTTTCTGAAGGTATAGGCAAAATTAAACAAATAGGTAAAATTTTCTCCTTAGAAAATTTCCTGCTCTTAACTTTCTTTTAAACTCTTATTGTCTCCTAGGACCTACCTTACTAATACTCTGTGGACTCTAATTTAGCATAATTGTATGTTTTATTATCAATTATTGTTAAATGAGGGAAAATTTCCATATTTTTAATGAAAAGGAAACAGTTTTGGGTAACTCAAGAATTTCTAGGGATAGCCTTATTACATTTTTTTTAAATCACATGTATAAAATATATTAGTTTTGAAAAATATGTTTTTCTGATCTTTCGTTGTATAAAATAATTTTATTCAAGTATTCTTACTTATCTGACATGATTTTTGAAAGACATGTTTACAGTGATATCTGACACTTCATATTTTAGGTCATACTCCTTGGAATGACTAACACTGTTTAAAATTTTGCTCTGTTTTTAATCTTGTCATTAAAATAAAAGAGTGGGAGGAACCATGTCTAAGAACACATTACTAGTGTTCAGGGGAGTGTCCACAGTCCTGCTTTTAGATAAACATTTCTTGAATAAATTGACTTAGGTCAATACAGGGGGATGGCTTAGAATAGCAGTCATAGTCTTATATAAAGAAATGGGGAAATAACCTATCAAATTATGATTTTTAATAAATAAGAATTCAAACTTTTTATAGCTTACTGATACCATAAGTTATTGTACCTCAGTTTGTCAAAAGCTGGGACTAGAGCAGTCTCCAGATCTCACCATTACGCCAGAGTTCCCGGATGAGTTAATGACCCAAACGAGGCTTCTTGAGGTCTTCTTCGTTTCCACACACAGAAACCTTTTTGGAAGGTAAAATGTTTGAACCTTAGAAGGATGACTCCTCTCAAGCTCTCCATGACCTGAAGCGTGTCTAGGTTTAAAGAGGATACCTTAGATGGGCCCTGGGAGATTGCCTTTGGGCACTCCCAGGAGGTAAGCCTGAAGCACCCGAAAACCCTCACAACAGGCTGAAATCACTTGTGTTTTCCATGGAAAAAACTGTAATGATTGTCAGTTTTTAATGCCTTTTCCCATAAAAAAAAAAAAGTAGGAATGCTATGAATTTTCTCTAGCTGTTTATGAGTTTTTGGGGGATAAAACAAAGTTACTAGACCATATTATTATTATATTTAAAGCAAAGTTTTTACCATAATATTGCTTCAGGGAACTCACATCTGTAACCACATTAGATAAAGAGCAATTTTCAGAAGAGAATGAAAAACTTCAATAATATCTGCAGTAGTCGTGCCAGTGTTTTTCTACATTATATATACATGTTTATATAAAATTCATATTATATATTATATAAATATGTGAATGTATGTATACTTACCAAACTCTAGGTTTTTTCTTATAATAGCTTAATCACATTTTTTGTCTTTTTAAAGAAATTTCAATAGCTTTAGGGGTACAAGTGAGGTTTTGGATACATGGATGAATTGTACAGTGGTGAAGTCTGGGATTTTAGTGCACCTGCCACCTGAGTAGTATACATTGTACCTCAACAGGTAGTTTTTCATCCCTCATCCCGCTTCCGACTTCCCCACTTCTGATTATCCAGTGTCTATTATACCACTCTATATGCCGTTGTGTACCCATAGCTTAGGTCCCACTTGGAAGTGAGGACATGTGGTATTTGGGTTTTTGATTCCTGAGTTACTTTACTTAGAGTAATAGCCTTCAGTTCCATACAAGTTGCTGCAAAAGACACTATTTCATTCTTTTTTATGGCTGAGTAGTATTCCACGGTATATACATACCACATTTTCTTAATCCACTTATCAGTTGATGGGCATTTAGATTGATTCCCTATGTTTGCAATTTAGACATTATCTTTTATTAAATATACTTAGTTATGAGATGTGTATTTCCATATGTACCAGCAAATATATACCAGTGTATGAATGTGACAAAAAGGAAAATTTTAATATTTCAAGGCTATAGGAAAAAGCAATGTAGATTAATAGGAGAGCCCTGGCCTGGGATTCGGTTGACTAGACTCTTGTTTTGGTTTCTGTCCGTCCACTGCCCAAGTTCTTTATTTATGAAACGGAAGGATTAATGGAATTGAACAGAATATTTCCCAAAACTCTTTATATTTACAATTCTGAATTTTTATTATTTTAACAAGTAGAAACCTAGAGTAAATACTCACAAGTTTCCCACTTCCCTTATGCTTGGGAAGTCATCTTTTTCTCCCCAAGTAGTCATGATAGTTACAGCTTTCTACCCTTGAAGTCATAAGTGCTCTGAACTGGCAAAGAATAGAATTTAGTACATGGTTATAAAAGTCCTTTCATTACAGAGTTAAGTAATGGTGGGAAATGTGACCTCTACTCTTTAGTGAATAGATCTTTTTAATATACAGAGGCATTGTTCTTTTTGGCTTAATAATGAAGGCATTCATTATATCTAGCACTTGGTTCTAATCTAATCTTGGTATAGAATCCATTGTTTGATAATGTAATATGACCTTGATTGCAGTTCATGGGGAACAGTCATGTCTGTGGTCGCTGTAAGGACCCTAATTATAGCATTTCTTTTGTACTTGCAAAGTGAACTATATTTTTATCAATGCTTATGAAGTTTGAGTAATCAAATTCTTTTAGGAATTGCTGTTGATTAATCCTCGATGAGATATTTCCTTACATTTTCGTGATTAGCTATCAATATAATTTGATGCATGTTTTCTTATGTATATGTTTTCACATAATTTTCTCCATTGTAGTTATCTCATATTATTGTTAGTGAAAATTGAAAATATCTCTGTGCTCTGATTAATTACCCAGTTGTTTGCTTCTTGAGGGCCACCTTTACTTAAAATTAGAAAACTTGCTGGATCTTAAGGTTTTTAGTATGTTTAAATGAAAATGTTTATATTTGTGAGCATATTTTAAGATTTAACTATTCAGGGGAAATATAATAATTCTGCTGTAATTGCCTGTTGAAATAGAACAATTTCCAAATTATATTTGATGATCATTTTTAGCTCAATTACAAGAAATTTGAGGTTATATTCTTCCTTAGCCCCGTTTACATACAAATCTTTTCACTGTAGTACAAGGAGAAATGAGGGTCCCCGAAGAAGCTCTTAAGGTAACAGTTTTTACTTAACTTCTTTTGCAAATCTACTATTCACTATGGTTGATTTTACTTCTTGATGTTTCACTTCCATTTTTAAATGTTTTATAGCATGAGAAGTTTACCATTCAGCTTCAGTTGTCGCAAAAATCTTCAGAATCAGAATTATCCAAATCTGCAAGTGCCAAAAGCATAGATTCAAAGGGAGCAGACGCTGCCATTGAAGTGCAGCACAAAGCTACCGAAGCACTGAAAGCCGAGGAGAAAGCCATGGGTAAGCTGGCCTCTCTCTGAAGACCGTCTTTATACTTGATCTTGAAGACACTGCATGCTTTGTTCTCAGAAAGTTGGCCATGTCCATATAAAAATAATGTATAATAGTGATAATTTCAGAGTGTGTTTTAATGCTGCCAGTGCTTTCATTAGGAAACATTATAAAACACATAATTATATATGGCAGTTGTATATAGGTGTGCTTAATATGTTTAAATGTTTAAGGGAAGTAAATATAGTCATCCTCCAGTAGCCATGGGGGCTGGTTTCAGGACTCCCATGAATACCAGAAATCATGATACTGAAGTTCCTTATGTAACATGGCATAGTATTTGCACATAACTTATGCACGTCTCCTCCTGTATACTTTAAATCATCTCTAGATCACTTTAATACCTAATACAATGCATACACATCACTTCATTTGTGTAGTAGTACTTGGCATAAGGCAAATTTAAGTCTTGCATTTTGGAACTTAGTGGAATTTTTTTCCCCAAAGCATTTTTCATCTGCAGCTAATTGAACCCGTGGATGCAGAATACCTACAGATTCAGAGGGTTACCTTACAGTATTTTTATTATTTCATGTTTGTCTGCATTTTCTTCTGCAGCATAACAACAAAAATGAATTAAAAGGAAATTTTTAAAAATCAAATGTAGCTGTATCATCATATAATAATTTATAATTCTCGGGATGTTATAAAATGCCTCACATAAATAATCCCATTCAAACAGAAACAAGTTTTTAAATGGATAGGCATTACTACATTTGCTCAAACAAAAATATGTTAGTTCTGTTAAGAACTAGTTTGTGTGCCCTTGGGCTTGAAAAAAATTAGAAAATGGGTGCTCATGCCAACATTTACTTTAGCTTTGTCTTTTACATTTAACCTTAATGAGCCATTTCTGATCAGACTGGTTTTGTTCTTCCCTAGTTAATTATTGCCTAGTTTCAACAAACTTGTTCTTCTGAGGTCACTTTCTGTCTAAATTCAAGTAAAATGCCATTTGTTACAAGTGGTTCAGTTATATACCAAACAAGTCATAACACTTGAAGAAAAAGCTACTGGGATATGTAGCACGTTGTTTGACTTAGATACCACCCAGTGGAAATAGTATTTATTTAGTTATGTCCAACATTGATAAGATCTTATCACAAATACAAAGCTATTCAGGATAGATTACATTTTAGCTATCAAGACTGTACTTTGCTTTTTAATTTAAGTAATCAACCAGGCAGTTCTAGCATTCTGCGAAAGCGTATTTTTTTCTGTTTCATCTGCTCTAGACAGATTTTTCCCACCTCTTTCCAGATATTTCTGCCATGCCCCGTGGTACTCCATTATATGGGCAACCGTCATGGTGGGGGGATGATGAGGTGGATGAAAAAAGAGCTTTCAAGACAAATGGCAAACCTGAAGAAAAAAATCATGAAGCTGGAACATCAGGTAAAAAATCTCAATCACTGTGACATTAAATGGATATTTTGGGAAGCATCTGTAATCTAAGCAAACAGCTGTCTACCATGAAAAGAGATGCTCTAGTATTCTATAATTTGATGTTTTTTAATTGATGAATGTTTTAGTGGCCTTGTTATTTTAATGTAAAATTTAAAATTATGAGTGATTATAAGCAAAGTATTAATTTTAATATCTTTATAAAGCACCTTTAAAATATTTTTTACAGTTGAAAGGAGATGTTAAGATTTGGAAAGCAGATTAATGATGTAACTAGGCATTTTAAGTATATAAAAATAATTATTAAAATATATCAATTAGACCAAAATGGTAGGCACTAATTTTGTGTTTTATTAGATCCCCAGCATATAATCATATTTTTAAAATAAATTAGTTAATTTATTCTTTGAGATGGGATCGCACTGTGCTGCCCAGGCTAGTCTTGAACTCCTGGACTCAAGCCATCTTCCCACCTCCGCCTCCCGAGGAGCTGAGATTATGGCACACACCATTTCATGTCCAGCTTAATCATATTTTTAATTGAGCAATTTCCACTTTGTTCAGAAATGTGGTATGAAATTACAAATTCTTCAAAACCTCAGTGTGCTCATTGTGATGAGAAGTGGCAGCAACAGGATTAGTTGAGTTTGGCAGCCAGCATGAAAAAATAGTTCTGGGTCAGATTCTCAGAGTAATAGTCAAGTAACGTATGTTTGATATTTCTGATACTGTTAATGGAGTGGTTCAGTCCATAAACCAGAAAATCAAGACTTCCAGGAAATAAATGGAGGTGTCAGTTGCCACATGAGGACCTTGCAAAGACATGAGAACAGAAAGATGGAGCAGCCAGTTTTTGAGATAACAGCAGATAAGGATCCAGAACTGGATCTTAAAATCCTGTACTTAAACAGGCACCTGGGCTCAGTATGGAAGACTAAGTCTGGCTCTGAAACAAGGATAAATTTCATGAGAACTCTTTTCAATTTTCTACTTTTCACCCTAATTCTACAAGATAAATAGGACATTTTTCTTAGCTGGAGAATAAGAACATTGGTTCTTTAGGTATGCTCTAATGGATACAAGTCTAAGAAAGCAAGCATTGTCAACTTGATCTTACAGTGCCCAAGGCTGAATTTGTCAACTTTGCAAATAAATTCCCATCCCAGCTTTATTTGTTTCTGTCACCAGCAGTTTTCATCATGCCCATGCGCAGAAACAGTATTACTTTGCACGCTTTCAGATGTAAATAACAAATGCTGCCTGAGACAAACAGGAAAGAAATTTCCTGGCTCACATAACTGAACCCCATCAGGGTTGTTTACTTCAGCATCTCAGCAATGTCGTCATCAGCTAGCTAGCTTCTCTCCGCCTCTCAGTCTTGCTCTTCATAGTGGTTGCAGACTGAGGAGTTTACCCTCACTCTCATAGGCTGCCTGCCGGTAGCAGCAAGGGGTACATGCTGCTTTAATCACATCCAACAGAAAAGCGAAAATGTTACTTCCGGAAGACCTTCCAGAATTTGGAAGAAGAACTTTGCCAAAAGTTCTCAACATCTGTCTCATCTCATTGACCTCTCACAGGTTCAGGAGAGGGTCACCTGCTTATTTCTGAACCAGTCCCTGGCAAGGCAAGTTAGATTATCCTTAAACCGGTCTTGCTCACCTTGAAGCTGTGTGTGGTGTTAGTTTTCCCCCAAGCCACATGATCTGTGTGGGGAAAGAGTGGATACCAGAGACTTTTGGAGTCCTTTGAGGAGGAAAGAACAGGGAAAGGATATGGAAAGAAAACCAAGGATGTCTGCTTTATTTGTAAATTTGTGTGTTCCCTTCCCTTCACCTTGTTTGTGTAATCCTTAGGTCTGCAGGTCTGTTGCTTTCCCCACACTGCCCCCCGTCCTGAGTCATAATTGGGCTACCAACCTCCTGGTTTCAACCCTCTTGCAGTTTATTTTGTATAGTACATTTAAATTGATCTTTATTTTCTTTGCTTAAGAAACTACAATGACTGTCTTTTGCCTGCCAAATAGATTTTAAACTAATTTTTGTATGTCAAAGTTTTCTAATTTTGTCCCAATTTCCATGGTCACTTTACCAGTTGTTTGAGTGTTTACGTCCCATTACCAGTTGTTTGAGTGTTCTCTCTCAGTGCATCCCCCATAAATTATGCTAATTCCTGCCTGCTCTTTTCCCACAAACATAAATACACACATACATTAGATGATAAAGAGATACGTTCTAAATGATGTCTGTATATTTATCGTCAATACTTTACAGTTCAGGCCGGGCGCGGTGGCTCAAGCCTGTAATCCCAGCACTTTGGGAGGCCGAGACGGGCGGATCACGAGGTCAGGAGATCGAGACCATCCTGGCTAACATAATGAAACCCCGTCTCTACTAAAAATACAAAAACATTAGCCGGGCGTGGTGGCGGCGCCTGTAGTCCCAGCTACTTGGGAGGCTGAGGCAGGAGAATGGCGGGAACCCGGGAGGCGGAGCTTGCAGTGAGCCGAGATCGCGCCACCGCACTCCAGCCTGGGCGACAGAGCGAGACTCTGCCTCAAAAAAAAAAAAAAAAAAAACTTTACAGTTTCATTCAGTATGTTGTGTGTATGCCTCCTCCCCACAACTAAACTATACATGTCTTATTCAAGTACCACATAATATACTATCATTGTGCCCTAGAGCCACCTATTACTGAGAGGGGGAAAGATTTCCCAATTAGGTGATTAAGAAAACATAGCTGAATAGAATTATCACCGAACTCTGAAAATCACTAATTTTTATCTTGCCATTAACATTTTTAGCCCTCCCCTGTCACACACAAAACAGCTTTTGAAATCTGAAGCACATAACTTCTAACATACATGAAGTGTATATGTAATCTTTATACAGCAGGCATAACCATGATTTACAGAAATAGCTAACACTGCAGTAGTGTTTACTTTATCCAGACATTCTTCTAAGTGCTTTGTATGCATTTAATTATTTAATCATCACAGGAGTATTTAAAGGTGTAGTTACTGTGATTTTGTAGATAAACTAAGGCATACTGAAATTAATTTACTTGTCAGAGTCACCCAACTACAAATAATGGAGCTGGGATTTGAACTTAGATTGCCTGACTCCAGAGTCCACGCTCTTAAGCAGAAGAAGTTTTAATATTTCAGCCATCATTATTCTTGTAAACACAATCACTCTAAAAGCGTATACTTCATAGGGTACAGATACTTAAACACTCCAAAATCAAATAGCCATAAAAATTGATCCCTCATAGCTCAGCATAATAAAATAAATTTCAAATGTGAAGCATCCAGCAGTACTTTCATCTCTATGAATATAACTGAATTCTCAGCTTGTGTGCTCTTTCTGCTCGATGAACAAAAGCTGTCTCATAATCTTGGCATTCTTTTTGAGTAATAATTCAGTGATTTATGTCTTATGTCAAATTCCTTAAAGTGCCCTGTCTGATTGGTAATAGCCTTAAGAGACTCTCACTTGCTTTCTTATGTTAGTATGAGGATATTACTGTTTCAGGTTTATCATTTGCAGCTTTTTAAACTATAGGATGAGGGAAATAGATTACTGTCTTGAAATAATTTATGACGCCAGCAGAAATTGTAGAATCGGATTTGAAATGTACATCAAGTGTTCTTTAATTTGATCATTTTGAAATTAAGGTATTTTTAAAAATTTAAACGTTCTTTTTTAAGTTTCAAATTGTGGAGTATACGTGATTAGTTTCATAATTTACCCTGTAAGCATACTCTTAGTGAAAGCAAAAAGTGATTTGCTTCTTATTTATTAATTTTTAGAGTTACATTCCAGAAAGTATAATAGTGTGTTTGCTACCTAGTAATTTTTAACGTCCCTCTCTGTGGGTTCATATATATCCAGAAACTCCAAAAGACTTGCCATATAGTTTTAAAAGCCCTGGTTTAAGCAGATATTTACTTTAGAGCAATTTCGTTCTCAGAAATTGTGTGACTATTTTTAATCGTATTAAGACAGAAAATTTGTCCTCAATTTATTTTCAGCTATGCTTTTCTACCTCCTAACTTGGTCTCAACAATTAATTTAGGTTATAATTAAAGGCCTTTGACTGTTGCACACATTTTGAAATGGCATGTGCAACTGGGCATCGTAGATTTTTGGCTCTCTTATATTGATTTTTAATCCAGTGAAACTAAATTTAGAAATATTCAAGTAGTAGCTCCTTCTAAGCAAAAGGAGCTTCTCAGGTCTTCTTAATTTGACATACTTGAACAGACTAGGTTGGATGGATGTCTTAAGCAGAATGAGCTGTTAATAGTCCTTGTCATCTCAAATAAGTTTAATATTTCATTGAATTTAGTACAGAAGAATGAAAAGAACATTTATTCTGGATGAAGTATAAGTATCCCTTATAATACATTGTGTTAAGGTAACACAGTCATAAAGTACCTTAAGAACATAAGCAGATTATCACCAATTGCTTTTCTGGTGTAGATATATGGAATTAATTACAGCATAGTCATTAAATAATTTTTTAAATGTAGTAATTGAGGTTAATAATATAATATTAGTCTAAACAAGTATTTACTATATTATTTAGTTTAATTTGGTATAACAAAATGAGTTTTGAAGATACATGAATGTTAAATTTCTAAATTCCAGAATATGTTCTGTTAGTATTCTGAGGGAGGAAAGGTGCTTTATTTTTCTGTGTTGATTAGAAGACTCCTCATAATTTTTCTATTAGGTACTTCTCAAGTGTAGTTGAACCACACCTCATCTGTTTTTATCATCTTTAGGGAAATGAGTCTTTCCACATAATGAATTTTCCAGATAATTGAACTTTACTTTTACAGTTGATGGTTTTTTTAAAGTTTAACCATTTCCTAAGTTTCTATTAAATTCATTACCCATATTACCACCTTCTTAAGCAGAGAAGGTTCAGTATAATTTAAAACTTTTTCTTATGACTCAGAATCATCACTAATCATCAATATCAGTATCACTATTATTATTCATATATATCAAGAGCAATATCAATATTGATATCAATACTCAATTATATTAATAATATAATAATACTGACATTGCCTTACAATAATGTCCTCAGGGGACTGTAGTATATAAGACTGTTTGCCCTATGTACTGAATGGTACTGGACTACCATGTTTTTGGGGCCATTTGTCTGCTCTTGTTTTTCATCTTATCTCTACCACTTGGTGCAGTCTGTCTGTCCTTAATCCTCACTTTTTGTACCCTGCCCAAGATTTGCTACATGTGATCTGAGTAAATAGTAAAAATCTCTCAATGAAGATCTTAACTGTTAGTAAAGTTTATGAATACTTAAGGATAGGCATTGTCATATCTGTCTTGGGTTTTTTAAAGTTAGATTTTGGTATTAGCTTTTTGTCTTCCTGATTCTCAGCTGTTTTTGAAAGTTGAGGGAGAAGCATTTATTTGCATATCTGCTTTGTTCTGGGTAACTTACATGATCTCACTTAATACTCATCTCACTAAATCTTCACAACAATCTTACGGGAAGATACGGTTTTCTCACTTTATGATGAGGAAAATGAGGATTGCAGACTGATTAGAGATAAGATTTATGTGATTTCAGATCTTGTCTGGGCTTTGCACGAAACAGGCTGCCTGGTTGTGATCATCAGATCATAACATGCTGCCTTTCCACTCTGTTGTGCTGCTTGACATGGTTAGGTGCTTGATTTCTAGATGAATTAGTTATTAACTTGTGTAAGTCTCAAGTTTCTAGCTTTGAGTAAATGCGAGTTTGAAGTAGTACTAACTTGGGAATGGTAACCTCCAAAACAATGCAGTGCAGTTGTTGATCTCAGCTGTCTTAATGCATGAAACATGTTGAAACATGTCAATATTAGCATGTGAACTTTTTTTGCAAGGGAGGAAAATTGAGATAATATTCCTTTGAATCATGAGCAACAAGTGGTTGATAAGTGCTATATCCCTGGCCAGCTTTTTTGTGTTACTTACTTCATAGCTGAGCCACATCAATTTTATTTGGCTCCCTGTGTAGTGGGTCAGTTTGACTTGGCTCTCTGTGTAGTGGTATTAGAAACTACCATCTTAACCTTGTTCTGTCACCTGAAGGATGAGCAAAGCAAAAACAAACTATATGTATATATCTGTATGGGGGGAGGGAGAGAGGACAGGTTTATGAACAAGTTGTCTTGTGTGGACTTGATCAAGTACAGTACATTGTACATAGTTAAAAAAAATCACTGTCTGAAAAAATAGAAAAATAACATTAATGAACTATTAATATATGAGGAGTAGTTAATATTTTATTCTAATGGAAATTTTAACTAACATGACTTCAGAGTAAACACTCAAAAGTCCAACTGAACATTTTATTTTTAAGAAAAAGATAAATTAACTCTTTATTTAATCAAACTTTTTTAAAACTTTAGGTCGTGTCATATAAATGTATGATTATTTCTGTGATAATGTAGAGTTTTTCCAATACTATTCTTTCATGTTCAGTGATAGGAAAACTGAGTAGATTTTAAAAGGGTAATTTTTTACAGTGAAAATTATACTATATTCTTTCATATTACATGTTCTCCTTGCCTTCTGTTTAGATTTTTTTGACACTTTATTATTACTATGTTTATTGTGAAAATGGAGTTTGTTGTCTTCAGTGCCCTACCCCACACATTTGATTACGAAAAGGGATGTTACTATATCATTCTTCTGTAACCTAAAAGCAGTCAGGTTTCTTATTATTTCATATTCAGACTGCTGTCAAGAAACCAATTATAGTACCTGACAGATCCCACTAAAATTTAATCTTTGAAAAGATGTTTCAAAAGATCAAATGCTTCACTTACTTAGAAAATGTTTGGAAACAGCCTAGTCTCCCTGTATTGCCTTGTTTTCCTAATAAATTGTCTGTAAATGATTTTTCTATTAATTTGTTTAAAAGCAGAGTTTATTTTCGGGCTTTAGGGAAATATATCTCATTTGAACTTGCTCTTCATCTTGATAATGGACATGCTTTGCTTCTTCAACAACAGGACAATATCATCTTTAATTTTTTTCTTTTGCATTTGCACTACCTGATAACATGCCAAAAACATTTTAGTTGTCATTTTCATTTATTCATAAATGCATTTTATTCATGTATTTTATTCATAAATGCATCTGTTTTTAGACTGTTGTATTAGACTCTGAGGCGATAGAAGAGTGGTGATAGTGTTCCAGAGTTACTTGCTCCTTCTGCCAACTAATGTTAATCTGAGGTTTACAATTCAGCTTTCCTCCAAGAATTTTTGACACTTTTGCATATTCTGCTGTACAGAAAAGTAAACTGATTTTCTTCCAGAGTCATTGTCTGGAAACTGAATTTCCCATTTTAACCTTATTTCTTTCACACTGCTGCTTGGATTGCAAACCACATGTTTTAGTCTTTATAAAAAGTTTGTATCTTCTTGCAAGGATCGCACTTCAGCAATATCTTTGTCATTCTGAAAGTAATGTTTCTGAATGTAGTGGTGAAGAATGGTAAGTGGAATCATTACTTCCAGAAGATCACTTACATATTTACTTCATGTTTATATTCTCATTTGAGTACCTGTTCTCCTTTGAAGCACTACATGTGCTACATATCTCATCTTGGTGACTTGAGAAGGAAGTTCATAGTTTTTCTGTCACTTTTTATGTATACATTGAACATGCATCTCCATCTACATTTTATTTTAATTCTTTTGGACCTTAATGAATTCTAGATCCAAGTTGGAAAAAAATATGGACTTAGCCATGCAATACCCATTTCTTACCTGCTTTGCTCTCATTTGCCATTGCTGCTGCTTATCTTGCATCCCCTGTTGGTAATCAAATAGCATGTTTATAATCAAGATTCTTTTTTCTCTATGACATTTGTTCTGTGATATAAATGCCATTGGTTTTCATCCAGACTGTGATCTGCCTTCTAGTTCTCACGGAGTGGTACACATGGCCATTACCAGACTCCTTCAAGTGCCAGAAGCAATCAAATATTTTGAATTTTCTCTTATTTTTCTCATTAGGGTGCAGCATAGATGCCAAGCAAGTTGAGGAACAATCTGCAGCTGCAAATGAAGAAGTACTTTTTCCTTTCTGTAGGGAACCAAGTTATTTTGAAATCCCTACAAAAGAATTCCAGCAACCATCACAAATAACAGAAAGCACTATTCATGAAATCCCAACAAAAGACACACCAAGTTCCCATATAACAGGTGCAGGGCATGCTTCATTTACCATTGAATTTGATGACAGTACCCCAGGAAAGGTAACTATTAGAGACCATGTGACAAAGTTTACTTCTGATCAGCGCCACAAGTCCAAGAAGTCTTCTCCTGGAACTCAAGACTTGCCGGGGATTCAAACAGGAATGATGGCACCCGAAAACAAAGTCGCTGACTGGCTAGCACAAAACAACCCTCCTCAAATGCTATGGGAAAGAACAGAAGAGGATTCTAAAAGCATTAAAAGTGATGTTCCAGTGTACTTGAAAAGGTTGAAAGGTAAAGTGATTTGATCATTCAGAACTTCCTATTTTATGATAAAGAAAATCCAGTCTGCAGTTACTATACTACTAGTAGATATTTACATGGTAGAAAACATTCTGCTTTTTTCAAAGGTTATATTTAATTTTAAAACTCAACAGGAAGCCACACCACCCATGTCCAACTTCCTCGCTCAAATTAGTCTTTCTTCATTGTCTTGACAAAACCAGATTGGTTTTATGAACTTATATTTATACTGTAAAACATGTTTCTTTTTCTTCTAGAAATACAAAATTTATTAAGTTCACCAGTAGGATTCCCTAGCAGATGAGTTCCATCATTGTCTTGATTTAAGGAAAAGCTATATTCAATTCTGTTCTCTATTATCATTAATACCTAGATTCTGAAAGACATTTTAAGTTGGTATGAGCCAAATGTTCCACTTGGATAATACAGTCACATCACTGATGGGAGTGCTTCAAAGTATTCTCAGTGGTTACTCATAAAACAAAGATTTTTGGTTTAGAAATATTTGGTAGGATCTGTTAATCAAGTTTATATATTTTTTTAATATTAGGACTTTATGAACATTAGAGTTGAATGTTCATTTTTGAAATAGTTATATATACTTTGTATAGAACTTAGCCAAAATTAGTAAAATTTGATATTTGTACATTGATGTATCAGCTGATCAGTTTTTTCTCATTGGTTTTGCCAATTAAGTTTATTTTAGAATTAATTGAATATAGATTTATGTTACTCTGTCTTACTTTTATTTAATAAGCTATCTATAAGGAAAATGATTTAGAACAAATTGTGATTACATGTTTATCTGAGCATTCTGTTACTATATTAGGAGTTTTTGTACTCCTAACACTTCATCTAGTACTCGAGCATGTGATAGGTACTAATTTGAATAAGCAATGGGTGATTTCTCTGTCAATGACAAGACTGGCCCTGATTTAATCTATATCTTATGTCCTGGCATTCTGATCAAGTAATGAAGAAATAGTATTTGTATACTTATTTCTGATTTGCTTCTAAGACATTTCAGGACAGTGAGATGATGTGATTACCTAATTATTTGTTGGAGCCTATTACAATATTTAATTATAGTTATCAGCAGTTACCTGGCATATGTGTTTTTGAGACATGACTGTGACCTTTTACTTCTAGACAATACATAATTGAGACATTTTATTTATATTTATATAGGTTAACAGTCACAAATAAATAAGCTGTTTATACGAAATGGATAAATAATATTGATATCCTAGTACAGTATAAGAGGTAGCTGAACCTTGAGAATTTAGAAATAACTTAGACTTTTTAAAACCACTCTTAATAAACAAAAACTGAGGTAAAATATCCTTGTAAAAGATAATCATTTTAAAAATATCTTTATTAAACCCATTTATATTGTAACTTATTTTAGCCATTATAACTTTTTTCTGTATTGGCTATTATTTTTAAGCCATTATTTTAAAACATTCTCTCCTCACAAGACCCATTTGTGGACCTAATTCCAAATAGAAGGATTAATGTCCACATGTATACTAGATCTGTATTTTAACGATTAGATATTTTAAGCCCTTACTAGAAATTATGTAATCATATTACTGTTGTCCTTCAAAGTTGATTTGTAGGTAGACATATATTCAAGTATGGTGGCAGTGTGAGAGCTCTTCTTTTAGATTTGCCTTCAGACCATTTTACAAGCCATTCAAGGTAGTGTTTTTGTGAATATAACTTATGTTTGATCCAAGATAGATTCATTTTACTTTTCTGGACATGTGTATAAATGACATGTGACTTTCTCCAAAAGTCAGAGCTTCCATCATTAGATAACAATATTCCATGATTTAGGCTATAAAAGAGTATATAGCCAGACTCTAAATAAGTGTAATTATAGCAAATAATAAAAATTTTACAAAAATTAGGTTTTCAGCAACTGTTTAGATCAAAGAATTGAAAGTAGGCAAAACAAAACTAAAACAAAAACTTTGCTCCTACCAGAGTGAAGTGCAGGGGCTTTGGGATGGTGAGGAAGATGAAGCCCATACACTTTGACCCTTTAGGAGAGTTGCCACTTCTTGTGGCCACACCACTAACTTGTTACAGCAAACCTACCCTGAAAATATTAAAAGGACTTCAACATACTTAGGCATGGCTAATGATAAGCAAAGGAAAGAAAAGAACTTGGTGAGGACTGTTTCCTAGTGACCTGTTTATTGAGTAGAAACAGAAAATTGCAACTGCGATGAGATATTGACTTGTATAACACCAACAAAATACAAGAGGGCATGGTAATTTTCCAAAAAAGAAAATGACTAATTTATAAGAAAAGTTTTGAACTACAAGTTATAGGAAAGATACTTGAAAGGGCCTGACACCACTAAGTGCCAAATTTTATGTATTAGAATCAGAATTAAATTCTGTGAAGATGGTATTTTCATTAAGATTGTTCAATATGTGCAGGATCTATTCTTTGTTCTTATGGTGCAGCGAATATTGGAGTTTAGTTATCTTCAGCTCTTAGAAACTGGATTCCTTTTCAATAGAGCCAATACAACAATGAAATAGGTTGTAAAATCCAGTGTTTTTAATGAAGTCTGTATTTGAACTAGTGAGTTTGTTTGGGCTTGCCCTTTATCTGCTATCTGTTATTCCTAGCTTAATTACCTGAGGCAGGGATTTCATTAATTAATCCCATTTTTTCTTTTCAGATTGCATTTTGAATAGTCAACAATTTGAAGAAAGATCTTCAGATTTGTTGTCATATATGATTTTTATAGTATTAATCACTATTACTTTGATAGACGTGATCTCCAAATCACCTTCCTTTTGATCTTACTCCCTTTGTTTCCGTTGCCTGTTACTTTTCTAATACGTGACCCTTTTCTGTGTGTTCTGTAGTTCTCTCTTCTGTGTCTTCTCATTCCTTTTATGCACCACATTTTTATAACTAGTGCTTCTATGCTAAATCATTGGGACCAGTTAGTAATCTCTAAATTCATTAGGAACAACCTAGAAACATTAACACTCAACTTTTTCCCTAGACATAGGTTGTTTGCTTCTCCCACCCCCCAGGTCTTTCAGGTCTGATCATTATTTTGTTTGGAACCATATTATTCAGTGGGCATTCACATTAAAATTTGTAGCCCAGGTAAATTTAAAAATCAGATTTAGTCCTGGAAGCATTAGAATGTATCTTGTTGACTAAATTCATTTATAGCTAAAGAAGCTTAAAATTAATTTAAGCTCTGATTTGTGATTCCATTTAAAACATGCGTAGAATAACTCAACTTTCTAATAATTTCGTACTATGATAATACAATATCATTTGATTATTTTTATCATATACTTATTATTTAGTTAATGAGAATTTTAAATCAGAAAAAAAAGTAATTTTTGTGTCATCACATCCAAAACCTAACAGAACCATGAAGGCTAACTATTTAGTGGCTTTTACTTGCTCTAAAATAGAATAACCTTTGTTAAAGAGGTGATCTTTCAAAATTCAAATACATTCTAACCTGATATGCTTCATGGGGAAGATATCTGGTAATATTTAGCACCATGCTGTTTGCCCAGTGGGTCCTTAGATCTAGGTGGAGATTTCATAGATGACCCTTTGCATTGATAGACCTCTCAGCATGCTTTATTTAACTCTTTGAAGCCACTAGGGTTTCTAATGCAAATACAGTTTTCAAAAATTCTCATAACTGGAAAGATATTTGGAAAAAATTGTGCAATAATTATTGGGGACTACAAATTTGAATCTTTTTAATAAAAAGGAAAAAATATGCTGAGCTTCTGAAAGTATTGACCATCAGTGAAGCTTAAGATTCATCACATTTTTACGATACTTGTGTTCTCATTTCTTGTGTAACAGTAAGCATTTCAGTGACGTTACCCTTTTTCTTGTCTTTTTTCATCTCTAATGCTAGAGTCAAATTTTTTATTGCTAAATAGTGTGTATAATTTGAAGGCAGAATTAATGTTTATTGATGTTAGGAATACAAATATCACAGAAATAGAGCATTGATTATCTATTAAGACATTGATGAAACATTATAAAGTTAAAATTTGCAGAAAGAAAGGCGATCCTATTCAGTCATTTATAAAGGACCTCATTGTTAGTTGATAAAATTTGAATGTAACCATTGCAATTGAGCAAGTTTGCAGAGCCTGTTACTGAAGAGAACATATGACTTTGGATTGAAAAGGAGGAGGGGAACAAAACAAATAGCACTTTTGTGTATGCTTCTAAATTTCTACATGGGATTTTTTCCTTCTCTATTGTGTGGTTTCTTTTTGTATCCAGGAAATAAACATGATGATGGTACGCAGAGTGATTCAGAGAATGCTGGGGCTCACAGGCGCTGTAGCAAACGTGCAACTCTTGAGGAACACTTAAGACGCCACCATTCAGAACACAAAAAGCTACAGAAGGTCCAGGCTACTGAAAAGCATCAAGACCAAGCTGTTGTAAGTCAAACTGCTTTTATGATTGCATTCTTTGATGAAGACAATCCCAGAAAAAGAAGGTCATATTCTTTTACTCAAAGTGCGGGAATCTTGTGTCAGGAAACTACATATTCACCACCACATACAAAACTTGAGAAAGCAAAATCTCCAACAGCAGATGCCAAAGTGGTTTCTTTGTCTTTACAGACTAGCTCTGCGCATCACAGAGGGGGGCATGGTGTTCCACATGGGAAATTGTTAAAACAGAAATCAGAGGAGCCATCGGTGTCAATACCCTTCCTACAAACTGCATTGTTAAGAAGTTCAGGGAGTCTTGGGCACAGACCAAGCCAGGAGATGGATAAAATGTTAAAAAATCAAGCAACTTCTGCTACTTCTGAAAAGGATAATGATGATGACCAAAGTGACAAGGGTACTTATACCATTGAGTTAGAGAATCCCAACAGTGAGGAAGTGGAAGCAAGAAAAATGATTGACAAGGTAAATAACTGAAATTTGAGTGTGATCTTAGTCGTTGTGTGGTGTATTTGACTGGTGGAAATTATTGGAGAGTCAGCATGAGATGTTGTCATGCAGTCAGTGGTTTGTGAATTTTAGGGTTTTGTTAGGGAACTGCAAGACTAACAGTAAGACCAACATGCTTTGTGATTTTATTTGCATCAATACTCTGCATTTGCCTGAGTTTCATACATAAAGCTCTGTACATTTAAAAGGTCTGGACCTTTTAAATTTGTGTAAATTAAAGATAGGTTTTAAAAATATTATGCTTTGGACGTTCTTGCTTTGCATTTATTTTAAAAATAAAAAGAAGCAACCAACCAACAAACATTGCTGTAACTCTGTTAACATAAATGTAGATATTAGCCAATGACAGTTAACCACAGATTTCCCGCCTACTGATTTCATGTTGGAAGCAGATGAAAATACATATTTTAGCTTTGTTCTTTGTCTGTATTTTTTCTTAATTTGTATTCACTGCTGTCATTGGTGATAGAAGTATATGAAAACAAAATCAGTTGGTTATGATTTAGTTTACTGGTTTAGCCAAGTATATGCCCAGTCATGATGGTTATCTACATGTCAAGTATGTTCTTTGATATTACTGATTAGTATGTGTAAGGATTGTTGCATGGTTTAAAAAGTAATTTTTCTCGGTTTTGCCAATGGTCATGAAAGGTTGACTTTAGAATCCGCTATCAAGGTAGTTTGCAAAAGTCACTGCGGTTTTTGCCATTACTTTCAATGGCAAGAACCGCAGTGACTTTTGCACCAACCTGATATTACCTCTTGAAAAATAGCAGTATCCGTTTGGCTTAACATTAATCTTTTGTTTGAATTCTTGTTACTCAAATCTGCTCCATGGGTTAGCAGCATAAATATTACTTGGAAGCTTGTTAGAAATGCAGTTTCTCAGGCCCATCCTATATATACCAAGTCAAAATCTACATTAGAAATGAGATCTCCAGTTGACTAACGTGCACATTAACATTTGAGATGCACTTATTTAGATGATAAGTTTCTGGAATGGCCTCTCAGGGAGGAGGGCAAGATAAGATAACCCTTTGGGATGCAGGAAAAATATTAGAAATTATGTTTACTTTTATTTTCATATTTTTAATTTTTATTTTGGATTGTGTCCTATAGTGTATAAAATCTCTTACTACACTGTAAAAGAGTATGTATAATTTCTAAGCATACATTTATTGTGGAGTACATGCTTAAAGTTTACCACTGGGCTGCTCAACTCCAAACTTTTGGAGACCCATTGTCTGGGAAATAGGTGAGCAATGTTATAGTTGTTAATAAGAGAAGTATAGTGTTTAAGAAACACCTAGTGTTTCTTAATGACTGATCATAATGGCTGATGTTTTCCCATTAAAAGATTATTTTGCAGTGAAGGGTTTTATATATATATAGAGAGAGAGACAGACAGGGAGCGTGTGCGATTTAAGAACATGAACACTTGTAAGCAGACAGATCTGGGATTAAATATAAACTTTGCATGTGCTAGTGTGTGCCCTTGGGTAAAGTAACCTCTTTAAGCCTCAGTTTCTTTTATCTCTGAAACAGAGGAGGTATCACTAGATTATAAAAAGAATTCAATAAAACATATAAAAGGCTTATCACCATACCCATCTTATTATATTGCTGTATAAGTGTTACTTTATCATTACTGTTATTAGGAGTTTCCACATTTGAATCTCTACATCAAGTATTAACAAATCCCAGAATGTTCTTTCAGCACTGAAAGAGTCAAATATAAAACCACAGTGGAAGTGACAGTGTGAGGGGCTAGCTTGACCAGGATAGCAGAAAGCCAAGAAAGAAGTCATTGTAGCAGATGAAACTCTTCGGAAACTGCTGGATAGAGAGGTGGCCACAAAACCTGGTTTACACCTGTTGCCTACAATTGTCATAAGCATCATTTTTTATTCTCAGAGTCCATTTTGACAGCAAATTACATGGTCTCACTATGGATCGAGAAACCCAAGGCTTTAGAGCAGGAGTCATTTAAAGGAGTAATGATAGTAGATGCCCAGGTACATAGTTCAAAGACTTTCTTAGTTTGTGTAAACCAGAAAATGAAGCTGAGACCATATTGCTGGGAAGAACAAAGCTCACTACATTATCTTGTGACTACCAAAGAAAAAGAGCTAAGATTCCATTAGCTCGAATCCACATAAAGCTCAAAGCCAAATTCGGGCTAATTACAGTCAGGCTCTGGGAAAACAAAAGCGTAGAACCAGGAATCATGTGTCTGAGTTAGATGAAGTAACCTGTGGGTATGAAGAAAACAAAGACCAACAACAGCCAGAAGGAAGGCAGAAAAAGCACTTTGGGAGGATAGGAGTAGATACAGGCATCATATCAAGTTGCTTGGACGAGTGTTGTCATCCAGTTTCTCCATTTTGACGTTTGGGTGTGTGGGATGGAAGTTGGGGCCATCAGCTGTTGTTTGTCTGAACTTAAATGCTCTTTTGTCCTGGAAACGTTCATGTGGTCTAACTCTTCTTTTTCACGTCATCATTTGAGATGTGTTCTATTTCATTGATTCGTTTATTTAGCAACTTTAATGCAACATTAACTATGTGTCAGGCTTTGTGTCTAGGAGAGGGTGATTCATAATGAAAAGACTGAGCTCTTTCCCTCAAGAAATGGCTGTGTACTGGAATAGATATACACAGACAAAAACCAAGACTTTAAAAATAAAGTTGTTGGAGGAAAGCTACCAGTAGCTTCCAAGAGGAGATCTCAGGTCTGCCTCAGAGAACATTCCTTCCTTAGAGAAGTCTTTAGTCATCCAGTGAAAAAAAAAAAAAGTAGTCACTGTCATCCACTTGTTTCATTTTAATCATAAACTTTATTACTGCTTCACTAGTTCACTGTTTATTCATTTGCCTCCCCACTCCCATTGGAGAGAGACACAAACAAATGTAAACTCCATCACTGTAGGAACCTAGTGTCAGCATATAAAATGTCCTCAATAAATATTGCCAGCTGAGCTAGTGGTGAAACATATGTAATTAATCCCATAACAGGTATGCTAGGTAGAGTTTTCCGGAAATATGGAACAGCCTATTCGAAAGCACAGGAGCACACATGACTTGTTCAGAGGACCAAGTTACTTTTGAAGAGATGAGATTGGACTTGGTATTGAAGTTCCTTATATATCATACTAAGGACTTTAATGCCAAAGGCAGTGGGGAATCATTGAAAACATTTAAGTAGGGCAATGATATGGTCAAGTCACTGTCAGAAATGTGAAGTATGGATTGAACACTGGAAATGCCAGAAGCACAGAAGGCAATCTAAAAGCTGCTGTCATGTCCAGTAGTCAATCAGCTAATGCCTAGATCTTAGGTAAGAGGTCTGGGCTAAAAATAGCCCAGATCTTGGAATCTGGGAATTATTAGACAATAGAGGGCAGCTGTCTTAGTATGTGTTGTGTTACTATATCTGAGACTGGGTAGCTTATAAAGAAAAGAGGTTTATTTAGCTCACAATTCTGCAGGCTGGGACATTCTAGAGCATAGCTGCACATATGGCTGGCTTATGTTAAGGGCTACATGCTGGGTCAAAACATGGTAGAGAAAGTCAGAGGGGAAGTGGACATACGCAAAAAGGCAAAACGAGGGGCTGCCTCACTTTACAACAGTCTACTATGAAGGGAACAAATCCATTCCCATGAGAACACGAACTCACAAGACAGCATTAGTATGTTCCTGAGAGATCTGCCTTTTTGACACAAACACCTCCCATAGGCCTCACCTCCCAACACTGTCACACTTTCAATTAAACTTCTACATGAGTTTTGGCAGGGACAAACCACATCCAAACCATAGCAGTAATTGAATACAAAATAAGAGATGAGATCAATCAGAGAAAATGTGTAGGGTGAGAGGAACTAAAGTATGAAAATCTCAGCAACACCAACATTGATGGACAAAGGAGAAAAGTGAACAAAGGAAACTGGAAAGTATCAAACAGGAATAAGAGAAAACCAAAGGAATACGTAGCACCTTGGAATCAAAAGCAGAGTGAAAAGAAGCCAGTAAGCAACAGTATCACATGATACAATGATGTTAACTGTGATGAGCACAGAATATGCCTTTTCAGTTTTTCTCCAAAATACATTGTCATTCTTGGTCTAAAGAAGATGAGCAAACCATGTACTCGCATCTTACCTTGGGAAGAGTTGCGTAACATTGAAATAGGGTTTCTTTAAAGAGATGACCAAATTAAACTGCTGTCTCCTTATTTTTCTGTGCTGGTAGTAGTTAAAAGATAGTGAGCTACCCTCTTTTTCTGTCGCCAGGTTATGAGATTACAGCATTTGGGTTTGTATTTTGGGGCTGTCTCTGTCAATAGATCACCTTATTTTATGCATGTCATCAAATTCACCTTTAAAATGTTAACACAAATACCTGATATTGATAAAGACCTCTTAAGTTTTACATCTAAGTTTACATGGAAATACGCTATAAGAAAGTGCTGTTAAAAAAAAAAAGAAAGTGCTGTTGACTGCCTAAAGGCATTTATCTCTCATAGTAGTAATATCTCTCCCAACCCTCTCTCCTTTGGCCTCTCTGATAACTACCTTCCCATCACAGTACCAGTTTCTTCTCTCCACTCTTCCATCAAAAGAGATAACCACTGAGGCAAGAGGAGGACCTTGTCAGGGTTACTTCCTAGCCTCCTAAGCTAAATAGGAGAAACTTGCGGTAAGAACAGAAAGCTAAACATTAAATGAACAAGAAAAAATCTTGATCATTGTGGAGGGCTTGAGGAACTATCTTCTTAAAAGCGATATTTCTTCTCATCAATTTCATACCATAGACAACTCTGCCAGATACTTTTCTTGTCCTGAGTTTTGATTCTTGTTCATTATGTCAATATATCTCCCCCACAAAGCCTCTTATTAGCGTCTTTTCTTCCCTCATAGGGCCTGGTCACTGCTGGCTCTATAGGCAACAGTTGGT